TTGGTTTCCCTTTTCTTTGTTGAAGAGGGTCTGTGCAGTCCTTCTGCCTAGTCCGCCATCTTGCTGGAACTCTCCACAGAGTTTTCAATGGCTCCTTTTTTTTGAAGTGCATTGCGAGGCTTTCCTTCTCAGGTACCTGTGAATCTTTTGCTTAGCAGCTGTTTTGGTTACTTTGTGCAGCTCTAACAGAAAATACCACAAATGGGATGGTTCAAACAATCAGGGATTTATTCTCTTACAATTTTGGAGGCTAGAAGTCTGAGTTGGGTGAAAGTGCAGGCTGAGTGAAAGCCCCTCAACGTTGGGCTTCAGCTCTGCCTGCCTCCTCCTCCCAGCCCACTGAAGCTGGAGGCTTTTCTTCACTGGCTGCTGAAGCTGATAAGCCCAAGGTTGACAAGTAAAAAGTCACAGTCCCAATGTTACCAAATAACATGCAGGCCACTAATTCAAGTCTAGATGAAGTCCCCAGATCGGCAGGGCATGGCAAGCTATTGAACAACGACTTGGCTATATGCAGGGTTCAAGTGTGCCAAAAAGCTAGAGACCTTCCTCAAAGCTGCTTCTTATACACTGGAAGCAGACCACATCCCTAAAGCAGCTACTCAGCTGCTCCAGTAAATTCTACCATGGAATTGATTGCCAGTCTCACCATGGGGAATAACTATATCCAGCTGCCCTACCACCCATCCAGGCCCAGACAAGCTGACAACCACCTTAACTACCATGATTCCACCCCCTTGTCAACTTGGCACCTGTACAGATCTTCATTGGGTGGCATCTGTACAGATCTCCTTCACTGGGTGACTCCAGTGCCCTAGTTCATCTGAGTGGAGACCTCACCCCCTTGGCCTGGTGGGCCCATTCCTCTATCTCTTGGAAATGGCAGCCCTGCCCCTCACTCTTGGGCAGTGGCTATGGCCCCATCCCACTGGCCCACATGAATGAGCAGCCCCACACTCCAGAACCAAGTTGATGAAGGTCTGACTCTTTGAAATCTAGGGAGCTATGGTGGTTCCACCTCCAGAAGCCATGGTCCTACCCTTTGAGGCTGAGGCAGCTCTGCTTCCCATTCCTTTGGTCTCTCTACTTCTGCTGATTAATGCCAAAGGCAACCCACTCTGCCAGAAATCTTCCTGCCCAAAAAGCACTTAGCTTTCTTGCTCCATGGGCCAGCCAACCTACTACTCCATTTCATGCCAATCTCTTCTACCAATTAATGCTCGAAGGCAACCCACTCAACCAGAATGCCACCTACCCAATGGCATCCAGCTTTCTTCTCCATGGGCTGGTAAGGTTGTCACTGTCTCGTGCCAATCTCTCAGCTCTGCTACTGCTATCACTCATGCTGGTCTCTTGGCTCTGTTGCTGCTGTCTCTTATGCTACATGCCGGGGTCTCTTTGCTGGGATCTCAGGTCAAGGACACACTCCACACCTGTTTCTACATTTTAGGTATCTGTCAGAGCAGCATCCCACTCTCTCAGTACCAAATTCTGTTTTAGTTACTTTATGCTGCTCTAACAGAAAATACCACAAATGGGATGGCTCAGATAAACAGGGTTTTATTCTCTTATAATTTTGGAGTCTAGACATCTGAGTTCAAAGTGCCAGGCTCTAGGGGCTGAGTGAAAGCCCCTCAACCATGGGCTTCAGCTCTGCCTCCTGTTCCTAGCCCACTAAAGTGGAAGGCTTTTCTTTACTCAGACAGTTGCTGGCTGCTGAGGCTGACAAATCCAAGGTCAACAAGTAAAAAGGCACAATCCCAATGTTACCAAACAACACGGCAGGCCAATAATTCAAGTCCAAAAGAAGTCCCAAGATCAGCAGGGCATGGCAGGCTATTGAGCAATGACTTGGCTACATGCAGGGCTCAAGCATGCCTAAAAGCTAGAGACTGTCCTCAAAGTGCTTCTTATATACTAAAGCAGCTACTCAGCTGCTCCCGTATATTCTAACATGAAATTGATTGCCAATCTCACCATGGGGAATAAGTACATCCAGCTGCCCAGCCACTCAACCAGGCCCAGACAAGCTGACAACAACCTTAACTACCACAGCAGCAGACCATGTTAACTGTTCTGTTAAGGGCCTTTACATATGTTATTTAAATATCTAAAAAACTTTTACACAACAGATTATCAATAGAGTTTAAATCTTTTAAGTATTGATGTATTTATTGATTTATATTCAATAATTTATCATATATGGAAGACTGACTAAGTTTTCAAATTTAAACAATAGAAAAAGTGTTATAGTTAGGAAAGGTAACATCTTTCTATCATTAATTTGAACATAAATTGTAGAATTCTGAAATTGCATTCAAATATGCAAAAGGAGCTGGATTTAGAGAGTTTATTTTCTTGTGAAGTTTGATTATCTGAAGAGCTAGATATAAGTTCATGGTTCTGACTCATGTTAAAAATGCAAGTGCTCATTGACAGATCTAATCTGTTGCTGTCTAATCAATTCTGACTCATAGCAAGTACAGAGAAGTGAAGTGCACTCCATAGGCTGTTCAAGGATGTGACCTTTTGGAAACCAATCACCAGGAGTTTCTTCTCAGGCACCTATAAACCAAAAACCCAAGCTCACTGCTGTCGAGTCAATCCTGACTCATAGCGACCCCTCCTTGGGTTTCCAAGGCAGTATCTCTTCGGAAGTGGATTGCCCAATCTTCCTTCCCAGGAGTGGCTGGTGGGTTTGAACTCCCAGCTTTCTGGTTACCAGTCAAATGCCTTAGGCACTACAGGTGGGTTCAAACTGCCAATCTTTTGGTTTGTATTAAACCAAATACTTAACAATTTGTACCACCCAAAGACTCCTACTGAAGACCTGTGTTGCTGTTATTGGGTGCCAGCAAGTTAGTTCCCACTCATGACGACCCCACAAGACAGACTACAACTGCCCCATAGGGTTTTCTTGGCTGTGATCTTTATGGAAGAAGATTGCCAGGTCTTTATCCTTCAGATCCTCTGAGAGGGTTTGAATTGTCAACTTTTTATGTTAAAAATGTGGGTAGTGGACATACATGGTTAAGATGGGATCCTCTGGGGGGAAAATGGGAGACTTGTTTGGTAAGGCATAGAACCTCTATAAATACGAGGCAAAGGGTCACAATGATGATAAACAAACAGTAATAGAAGAAAGAATCTTATTGCTTAAAAAAACTATTTAAAAATACTTTCAGTGTTCTATTCTTTAATTAAAATCTTCCCCATGTCTAAATTTACTAGGAAAAGGGAAACTGGAAAAATTACTAGGATTTTATTTTAAGAATCAAATGTCATTCATTTAATCTACTCCACTTTTTAGGCACAGAATAAATTCAACTGCAATACTCAGAAGAAGATGAAATTTTTTCATTCCTTTAAATAATCATTCTTATTATGTTATTTTTAAATTAGGTCTGTTCAGCAAGTGAGGAATTCAGTTCTTATATTCACCATGTAGCTTTTTCTTGCCACGAGGAACATGCCCTGGAGAAAATGGTGACTTGATATTCAACCGATCCCTTTCAGCCTCCTCTTCCTCATCATATCGCTCATCCTCATCATCTTCCACATCACTGCTCTGAGGACTAGAGACCTGAGACCCTGAAGGAGAAGGTGGTACTGAGGAAGGCCTGGGGTATTTAAATCCTTCTGTCTGCCAAAGACACAAACAAGACACAAACATTATGACTTCTAGTTTTTCAATGATATAAATGCTATGCAAGCTCATTTAATAAAAGACAAAATTGGATATATTTTGTGATATGTTCATGTCCTATTAACTTTATTTTGATTGTGGTTCCACTAAACTCAAGATAGATCAATGAAAAATACAGCTATCCTTTATCAAGTACTAATATGTGCCTGTTGCTATATAAATGTTACCTTATTTAATCTTTGTAACAATACTCTGGTAAATTTCTTCTTCCTACTTTACAGAAGTAGAACAATAATTAAGACTTCAAGAGGAGAAATGAAATGCCCAAGGTCACACAGCACATGAGTTTCAGACCCAAGATTTGGTCCAGAGCTGTGATGATGCCAGAGCCTTTCATTTCAACTGCCATGGTTCATTTCAACTATCATGGCTGATAGCTCCAGGCTCTACATCATCCTTTGGATTTTCTTCACAAAATTCAAAATGTGGAAGCCTGGGCATGCCACAGATAGCTACTACTTGAAAGAACCATGAAAGCTAAGCCACCAATTTGGCTCTAAAATTCCATTAGTTGCTGTTATTTCAGTTAATATGTAAATATCATTAGGTTTAATCAGAATGACCTTCTAAGATTCATTGAGATAATTCATTTAATAAGGACCTACTAAGTACCAATTGTGTCAGCTTCCGTAATGCCACTGAGGCAACAAAGATGAATAACATGCTCCCTGCCTCCTAGGAGTACACATGCTTATAGCAGGAGACAAATGTGTAAAAGTGTTATAGCATTTGTCATTCTGTATTTCAATCATTTGTATACATAATTATGTCATACATGTACAGTCACTTCAAGCTTTAGATACTTCCCCTGAAAGCAGAACTGCAAAAAAATTGACGAGTCCTGCACCTTGGACCTGGCTCAGAGTAGGTGCTCAATAAGTATTCGTTGACTAAGTAGATAAATGGGTAAACATAGCTGAATTATCATTAAGTGGAATGACCACTCCTAATCAATCAACTCTCTGAATGCTAGAACTGTAAACATGGGAGTTGGAATTTGTAGGTAAAAAATTAAAAAAAAAAAAAAAAAGCCCTTTTACTTTCTCTGTGTGCAAATTTGACCTTGGGTTAACTTTCTAGATCGGTTCCACTGGAAACCTAATACAGGTGGAATATCAGTTGTGTTATTAGAGAAAATTGCTTATGATAAAGTGACCCTGATTGACACATTATATCTCAACTCAAGGGATCTGTAAATACTTTGTGGGAGTCCTAGCTTTTGGGCATCCCTGAATGCAGGGATGCCTGTCATAGGCATGATTCATGTGGGGGAACATGAAAGCCTGTGTGTGGAGATTTATAAGAGAGATTGCCTCTTGTGAGGTATGGAGCTTCTAAGCTAATGTGGACCCTATACCCAATGATGTGAATCTCATCTTCTTGTACCTAAGCTGTTCTCTGGTGAGTATGAGGAGAAGAAACAAAGGAGAGAACTTCTAGGTGGCTGTGTAGACTGCTGTAAGGACTCCTTCCCCTGAAGAGAAATGCCTAATGCTGGCTGCCCTGTTTGCAGTCTGTGTTTCCTGTCATATCCAACTAAGTGAATCAGATGACAGATGTGGTCCATGTAAGTCCCCTCATAAACATCTAACTGAACCTTATAAGACATCCCTGCCCCCAGTGGGCACTGCAAAATGGGACCTCAATGCTCATCCTGTCCAATTCTTCCCGTGGGGCTTGATTTACTTTATATTACCCTTGCCAAGTGGTCACCGTATATTTAAATACTTGTTTGGATAGTTCAATTTTATTTTTTTAACAATTCTCAAAAGAATGCATGTCTAATGGAGCTCTGGTAGCATAGTGCCTAAGGCACTTGACTGCTAACCAGAAAACTGGAGGTTCAAACCCACCAGTCACTCCTCAGAAGGAAGGTTGGGCAATCTACTTCTGTAGTGACACCGCCTCAGAAACCCAAGGAGGGGTCACTATGAGTCCGATCTGACTCAACGGCACATAACGACAACAAGAAGGAAGAAAGAATTTTCCAGCAGATAGTATGGAGGTGGTCCTCCATTGAGATCTACTCATCCCACACATAGGCTATCAGTCCTCTACTCTGCTTTGATACAATTATGAAGAAGTATAATAGTTTGTTTTTTAGCTATGCCAAAATCTAAAGCTATTGTTATAAATGTTCATAAATAGGAAGTTTAGGTTTCAAAACAAGTAAACTATGCATAGAATATTTACCGTTGGTGGTGATATTGGTTCCATATGGAATTTATCTGGAAAAGCTTTGCTCAATGTCAGATGCCTGGCGTGCTGGTAATACTATGACAGAAAGCCAACACACAGATTTAAAAAAAAAAAAAAGATTTAACCATATCAATATACAAGTTATTACACAAACCTATTCTCCTAGTAATGAAATATATATACATATATTAAAGGTAGCAGAACCTACCTTTAAGTTCGAGATTCAGGAAGCAAGTTACAGCTTATAGTTTTATTATTTATAAATTCATAAACAAGGAAATATGGAAGTTAGAGGATGAGGAGTCATATTGGCCATCCTGAGCTCTGTGTTGATCATTAAGGCAACTAAAAACACTGTTCTTTCTGCAGAGAGGCAATGTGGCATGGGAAAAGGTGGAGCTTGGATAGTCCAACAAAATGGACTTAAATCCTGCTTCTGGCCTTATTTAGATAAGAAACATAACTTCTAAGGGCCTTATCTTTCTGTTTTCATTATAAAACAGAGATAGTAAAATTAATCATCCTTTGTTGTAATGAGTACTGACATTAGTATGTATAGGTCCTCAACAAATGTCAGCATTTATCACTTGGTCAGGAGAGTTGAATAGTGTGAGTGGAAGGAAGCAATCTACTTCCGTAAAGATTTACTGCCTCGGAAACCCAAAGTGGGTCGCTATGAGTCGGAATCAACTCGATGGCAGTGAGTTTAGTTGTAGGTAAGTAGGCAGTTATGTAGGTAGTATGTAGGTCGTTATATTAGGTAAAGGCAAAGTCTATTTATTTTTCATTAAATCGTCAGCGCTAAGGTATGTGAATATATGGGTGTTTATAAACTGATTATATAGTTGTAAGAAGGTATTTCCTGTCCTTATCATTTTGAACAGGAGCTCTGGTAGCATAGTGGCTGAAGCACTTGACTGCTAACCAGAAGGCTGGCGGTTCAAACCCATCAGCCACTCCTTGGAAGGAGGGTTGGGCAATCCTACTTCCGTAGTGATACTGCCTCGGAAACCCAAGGAGGGGTCGCTATGAGTCGGGGCCGACTCGACGGCACATAACAACAACAACATCATTTTGAACACAGTTTTATTCTCACTCTCTACTGTGATTGATTAATATGATCACATTATCTCTAGAGTAAAACAAAGTAAAAACTGTTCTCTTGATGTTTTCTTCATCTTCATTAAACATTTATGCATACCTGTATTGCATCAAGTTACGTATTAACAACAGAATAACTAGTAATATTAGTACTAGATCTTGATGATTTATAATTAGTGACTCAGAGTAAATATGAATGACTAGATTTAGGACTTTGCAAGCTTATATTAAGTTAAAAAATACATGAAAATATCACTGAAATTTAAACATTTTTTGAGTTGACTTTGCAGATTATTACTAGAATCAACACTTTGTGTTTCAGTGGAATTTTGAAAGTGGTCCTTTGTGATTATAATCAACTTGCTTACTCTGCCTAAGTATCTCCAATCCAGAAGATCTGAGAGCCTCTCAGTTCTGTTTCTTTGGATAATTCTCTGACGGCGTGACTGTTTGCAAAATCCATAAAGAAACTGAGTCAGCTGGTTACAAGAATCATCTGGAGAACGGAACCGCCTGTCAACAATGTAAATACCTGAAGGGCATAAAAGTCAAAGAATAGGTAAAAGTAAAGCTGATCCTAAAACATTTTTGCTCTCTTATTTCTCATTATCTCTTTGATTCTATCTTAGGCCATGTACATTATCTACTCTCTGTCTGCCATATTGCCTCTGCTTTATTTTTTCTCTTCAAAGGTTTTATTTCCTCTATGATCTTTTTCTAATGGCTTTCAACTGTCACCAACACATTGCCAACAAAGTAGGTCTTCCTGAGATAATCTGGCTGTATAGGGATACCCTGGATCAATGATCCACAATAGGGCTGCTCATTAGCCAGAATCTCCAAAGGTAGGACTTGGGTATAAAGTTTTTGTAAGCTCCTCAGTGTTTCTACTGTGTAGCCATAGCTGAGAACCATGGCTCTAGGCTGAAGAAAGAGGAACCTTGACAGTGCAACTGGAAATGACCCAAGGGAATTAGCAACGTGTAGGCAGAGAATTCATCCCATCCTCACATTACTTGCTGCTAGGAAACAAGGACATAAATGGTGATATGCAGGTTCTCCTGCCATCTTAAACTATTTAAGTGAATTTTGCTAATTTGGCATGGCCTCTGAAAATGATACCACTGAGCAATATGGATCCTGGTTGGAGTCCCTGGGTGGTACGAACAGTTAGCACACGGCTAACCATAAGATTCAGCCACTCCTCGGAAGGAAGATGGGGCAATCTACTTCCGTAGTGATACTGCCTCAGAAACCTAAGGAGGGGTCGCTATTGAGTTGGGTCCGACTCGATGACACATAGCAACAACAACAACAACAACCATAAGATTGGTGTGGTTCTAGTCCATCCAGAGGCACACAGGAAGAAAGTTCTGGCAATCTACTTCTGAAAAACCAGCCTTTGACAACCGTGTGGAAAACAGTTATACTCTGACACATATGGGGTAGCCATAAGTCAGAATCGACTCTATGGTAATTGGTTGGTTAAGACCCTGGTTATCATATCCAGGAAGTAGAGGGCCAAATCCTTTCAGAGAAAAAAATAAATAAATAGACAAAGGTGAAAGGATAAGATATTGCCCAAGCTTAGCTCTCCTTCTCTAGTTTTGAACTACTCTTTATAGTGTTCTATAAATGCTATTATCTATGGATCACATAATTACAGCTACTTTTAATTAAACAAAATGTATAACACTAGTTCAAGTATTAGGATAGCTTTAGATTTATGCTCTGGAAGGACCCTGGGTTTTGGTTGGCTAAAGCTCACTTCTCCCAGTGTCAGGGTAATGATGAAAACCCTTACCATACGCAGTCGGATCAGCCACATGCTCCTGCATGAAACAGCCAAAGCCAGAGAGGTTTGTTGTCACACTGGGGATACCCATCACAGTGCATTCAGCTGCCAGAAGACATAGACAAAAGCATGGCTTCAGATGAGCTCCTATATCTCTTAGACAGGAAGAAGTGAAAAAAGCCCTAGTTTGCTACATAATAATGGCGTTAATTTTTTACCAGACATTGTCCTAAGCTCTTCACATGTATTAACCCATTTAATCTTCTTAACAACCATGTGAAATGAGGCAATCATTGTCGCCATTTGTCAAGAGAAGAAATGGAAAATTTAAATAACTTGCCCAACTTCACAAAGGCAGAGAAGTGGTAGAGTTGGGATTTGAAGCCAGGTGCCTCAGCTCCAGAGCTCTTGCTTGTAACTGCCTCTTTAACACCACCTGGCTTTATTTATTGAGCTCTGGTGGCATAGTGGATAAGGCATCCAGCTGCTAACCAGAAGGCCAGTGGTTCAAACCCACCAGCTGCTCTGCAGAAGGAAGATGGGTGATTTTTACTCCCATAAAAATTTATAGTCCCAGAAACCCAATGGGAATCACTTTGAGTTGGAGTTGACTTGATGGCAGTGAGTTTGTTTGTTTTTTTTTTGTTTGCTTTGATTTTTTGCACCAGTCATAGCTTGTGTCCCTAAGTACTTGGAAAGGTTATGAGGTAGGTGAATATGTTTTGAATATGACTGATTTCTTCCTTCTACTTTCTCAGGTGCTCAGTGAACTCAGGGTCTCCTCCCTCCAGTTTAGTCAAAACCTGCTTTTTAGAAAATATATGCTGTGTCTTTAAAAAGTTTCTGTTCTCAAGGATGTCTGCATTTTACACAAGGAATTTGAGTTTGAAATCATTCTTGAATGGGTAATGGGGATAGATGAAAAAAGAAAGGTCTCACTGTAGCCATAAAGTACTAGCACTTAAGACAATGGCCTTTTCTGGTGCTCTGCAAGTATATCCTCTTGGCTTAGCTCTATACCCAGAGAGCAATGGTTTTCTAATACTGGGGGATGGAAGGAGAAGGTGGGTGAGAATCATTTAAGCTGATGAAAACTCTGGAACTTCTTCCACGAACACATCTCATACTAATATGTATACACAATTTCACAGAAATTCACAGATCCTTATTTTTTAATCAAATACTCATTAACATAATGTGCAGTAAAATGTCAAGTGCTGTACTCATGTAAGCACAATAAATATTCATTAAATGAATTTAATTAAATAATTGTTTATATTCAACAGGTTTTCTCCAAACACAAAATAGAGACCTTAATGAATATTTTCTGGAATGAGACATATCTAGTCTCACAAAGAAAGATTATTTGGAAACAAAAAATGGAGTTATCTATATGGTAATACCAAACTTATGCCACCAGAGGTCTTAATTCTGTTACAATACAAGGTTAGATAAGGAATGACCAACTCGAGTCAGTTAATTTAAACAAGGAATAACACATTCACTATGGAGTACACCTACATTTGTCTTATCAACCAGCTCATTGACATTTTTCATTTATGACCGCAGTAAAAAAAATCTCTTATCAGACTGTTTTGCACATTAACAACATAAGTCTGGCAGTAATGAATGCTAAAGTGTGAGGCAAGAGTACAACTGACTATGATGGTTAAGATTATTTGTCAGTTTGGCTGGACTGTCATTCTCAGTGGTTTGGCAGTTATATAATGATGTAGGCATCCTCTATATTTGCATAATGTCGATTTTTACATAAAGACCTGGTCTTTCAAAACTAACCATGTCGATAGGTGAGGAGTGGATGTAGTCCTCAAACTTCTTTAATCTTCTGCTTACCTTTTATAACACATCCTCTGGCCTTTATCTTAGAACACTAGATATATCTCCTCTATTATTTTTTATTATTAAGTTTAAGTGTCCTATAAAATATTTTTGGTGTAAGATCTATTGTTATTTATATGACATTTACTTTATTCAAAGTAAATGACCTCTCACATTCCTTCAGTCACTCATATATTTGGATTTGTGCTTCTCTGCCCTTGAAGCTTCCAATAATTAATTGCATTACTTACTAGAAATGATAGAAACAAGGGCCAATAACAAAGTATTAGGTTCAGCAATGAAATTAGTGTTTTGTGTCTCTCAAAGGATATTCTATTCTAAATAATTTAAGGTATTTATGTGGTCATCTTGATGTCAATAGCAATATTTAGAACAACAAGAGAGACTACTAAAGGAGTTAGATAAATAAATGTTCTAATGTCATGTAACAAGAAGTGATAATCTTTGGTCTGTCTTTTCCAAGAAGTTTCAATGTTTTTACACCTACTTATTTTTGATGGTACCTAGAACAGTAGGATGGTATGTCAAAAGTTATGAGACACCAGGCATGCTAGAAAGCATAAAGATCATGTTGTTGGTGTTGGATGCCATGGAGTTGGCTCCAATTTATAGTAACCCTATGTACAACAGAACAGAACATTGCTTGGTCCTGTGCCATCCTCAAAAATCATTGCTATGTTTCAGGCCATTGCTGCAGCCACTGTGTCAGTCCATCTTGTTGAGAATCTTCCTCTTTTTCACTGACCCTCTACTTTACAAACCATGATATCCTTCTCCAGGGCAGGTCCCTTCTGACAATGTGACCAAAGTAGGTGAGACCAAGTCTGGCCATTCTCACTTCTAAGGAGCATTACGGCTGTACTTCTTCCCAAACAGACTTGTTTGACCTTCTGGCAGTCCATGGTATTTTCAATATTCTTCACCAACACCCCAAGTCAAGTGCATCAATAATTCTTCGGTCTTCCTTATTCACTATCCAGCTTTCACATGCATATAAGGCTATTGAAAATATCATGGCTTTAGTGAGGTGCACCTTAGTCTTCAAAATGACATTTTTGCTTTTAAACATTTTAAAAAGGTCTTTTGCAGCAGATTTGTCTGATGCAGTACTGAGTCTGATTTCTTACTGCTCCTTCCATGGGCATTGATTGTGGATCCAAGTAAAATGAAATCCTTGACAATGTCAATCTTTTCTCCATTTATTGTGATGTTGTTTATTGGTCCAGTTGTGAGGAATTTTGTTTTCTTTATGTTGCAGTGTAATCCATAATGAAGGCTGGATTCTTTGATCTTCATCAGTAAGTGCTTCAAGTCTTCTTTGCTTTCAATAAGCAAAGTTCATCATCTGCATATTACAAATTTTTAATGAGTCTTCCTCCAATCCTGATGCTGCATTCTTCGTACAGTCCAGCTTCTTGGACTTTCATAAGTATGGTGAAAGGATACAACCCTGAGGCACACCATTTCTGATTTTAAACCATGTAGTATCCCTTTGTTCTGTTCAAACAACAGACTCTTGGTGTATGTATAGGTTCCTCACGAGCATAATTAAGTGTTTGGGAATTCCCATTCTTCACAATGTTATCCGTAATTTGTTATGATCCACACAGTCAAATACATAGTCAATAAAACACAGGTAGACATCTGTCTGGTATTCTTTGCTTTCAGCCAAGATCCATCTGACATCAGCAAAGATAAAGATTATAGAATCCCGTTTATGTAGAATTTCAAATTCTATATATTAGTTCTTTTGGTACAGGGACTCGGTGCATTCCTTCCATCTTTTTTTGATGCTTTCTGCATCATTCAATATTTTTCCCATACCGAAAAAAAAAGAAATCTCTGCCATTGAGTTGATTCTGACTTAAATTGACTCCCATTGGGTTTCCGAGGTGGAAAATCTGTACAGAAAGAGATTGCCCCATCTTCCTTCCATGGAGCAGCTGGTGAGCAATATTGTAGCTCAAGGCTTGAATTTTTTCTTCAATTCTTTCAGCTTGAGAAATGGTGAGTATATTCTTCCCTTTTCTGTCTTTTTAATGACCTTTTACTTTCTTTATGTATGATGTTCTTGATGTCATACCATAACTTGTTTGGTCTTTGGTCATTAGCATTTAATTAGGCAAATCTATTCCTCAGATGGTCTCCAGATTCAGGTGGGATATAATCAAGGTTGTATATGGCTTTCATGGAATTGTTTTCATTTACTTCAGCTTCGGCTTGAACTTGCATGTGAGAAATTGATGATCTGTTCCATAGTCAGCTCCTGGCTTTGTATTGACTGAAGATATTAAGCTTCTACATCTTCTCTGTCATCGCACCTAATCACCACAACAACATCATCTCTTCCACAGATGTAGTGGATCTGATTCCTGTGTATTCCCTCTGAGGAGGTCCACGTGTATAGCAACCATTTACGTTGTTGGTAAAAGAGATTTGCAATGAATATGTGGTTGGTCTTGCAAAATTCTATCATGCAGTCTCTGGCATCATTTCTATCAACAAGGCTATATTTTCCAAATCCCTATATTTCTTCTTTGTTTCCAACTTTCGCATTCCAATGACTAGTGATAATCAATACATCTTCATTGCATGTTTAATCAATTTCAGACTGGAGAAATTGGTAAAAATTTTCAGTTTCTTCAACTTTGGCTTTAGTGGTTGGTATGTAATTTGAATAAGAGCAGTATTAACTGGTCTTCTTTGTAGGTGTATGGATATTATCCTATCACTGACAGCATTGTACTGCAGGATAGATCTTGAAACATTCTTTGTGATGATAAATGTGACACCATTCCTCTTCAGTTTGTCATTCCCAGCATAGGAACCATATAATTCTCTGATACAAAATTGCCAATACCAGTCCATTTTGGCTCACTAACGCCTAGGATAGTGATCTTTATGCTTTCCGTTTTATTTTTGACAACTTCCAATTTTCCTAGATTCATACTTCATACATTCCATCCACGTTCCAATTATTAATAGATGTTTGCAGTTGTTTATTTCCATTTTGAGTTATGCCCCATCAGCAAATGATGGTCCCAAAAGCTTTACTCCAACTACTTCATTAAGGTCGATTCTAGTTTGAGGAGGCAGCTCTTTCATAATCAGCTCTTCATATTTTGAGTGTCTTTTAATCTGAGGGAGCTCATCTTCAGGTACTGTATCAGACAATGTTTCCGGACTACCCTTAAAGTTTTCCAGTAATATATCAGACAGTGTTTCTCTGCTATTCATATGGTTCTCACTGGCCAGTTTTTTCAGAAGTGGATGTCCCTGTCCTTCCCAGCCTGTCTTAGGCTGGAAGCTCCACTGAAACCTGTCCACCATGGATGACCTTTCTGATATTTGAATACCAGTGGCCTAGCCTCCAGCCTCACGGTGACATGCCAGACACCACAGTATGACAAATTGACAGATGAGTGGTGGCATATGATCAAGAACCAATGGTAGGTTCAAGGAAGAGGTCCAAGCTGCACTGAAGCACTTGACAAAAAGCAAGGCTCTAGGCTCTGGTAGCATAGTGTCTAAGGCATTTGACTGC